CCAAAACCCCAAAACCCCAAAACCCCAAAACCCCAATTTCTTAAAATCAGGTTGAAATATAAAAACGTCCAAAAATAGCAATAATTTGTTACTAAATTTTAAATGTTTTGTCATGCAACTTCTTCTGGGCCACGATTGGTCAGACCTAAGGCTATCAGGCCAGTTGATATCACTATTAATCAATCAGAACACCCAGAAACAAAACCTCCCCTCAACAAGCCTCAACCCATAACACCTCCTCTCCACTCAGACTCCCTCCCACTCCCCCCTTCCCACCCCAATGCCACTCTTCCCACACCCCTTCTCCACTCCCACCCGATCATACTGCCAATCCCAACCCTCCCTCATTCCCAACCCAAAGGTAAATTTAGGTTTAAAGTTCCTGAGCGACCACTTGGAAGCCAGTTAGATTCTTTTGATGGCTGGGCTGTTTGTGTGTAAGGTTTGGGATAGGGAATAACTGTTGAGTTGTAGATGATGCACAGGATCTGTTTTCGATAGTAATTGAGTCTTCATTGATGACTCAAAGGCTACATAAGGTCCTTGAAATTTTTCAAAATAGCAAGAATCCAAATATTAATTCGACTAAAATGAGTCTAGAACTAAATGATAACTTCCATTCCCTTTCACTCCACTCACAAAATCCCCCCCTCCCCTTGGCAGATCCTTGTCCTTCCCCTCCCACTGTTCAATCCACAAAAGCTGCTTCAGTCGGGCAAGACTCTTCTCCGAAAACTCAGTGCATGAAGTCAATTGGGAAATTAGGAGGCAAATTCGTTAATACAGACCACCAGCCATCCCTATTTAGATCACCAAAACATCTGATCAGAAAGCTGCAGGAAGTACATTTATTAATTAATCAAAACAAGGGTGAACCAAACCAAGAGATACCTAAGAGAGAAAGACTCTACAATAATTTTATAAAATCTTTGCGAAAATATCTGGAAGAAGATTTCATCAAAAATTATGGAGGCTTTTTCTGCACCAGCAATTCTGAACAGATCAAGAACTATAATTAAAAATCTAACTGAATATATAAAAGTGTTTTTCGGTAAGGAAATAACAACAGACAACACCTCTCTCTATGATGGAAAATGGGAGGGGTTCCAATTCATCTTTGGCTCCTTTATATCAAAGAAAATAATGAAACAAATGATTTCGTCTTCAAAAGAAAAGGCTTTCTTCTACAACCTCCAAAAATGACTGAAGAACTGATCCCAGAAGAAACTTGCTATTTTGTTGAAGAACGAACATTTGGTTGAGCTGATAAGCTTCCTATTCGAGAGTGGGAAAATTGTAGAGGTCTTATCCTAACTTTTTTTGAGTATATATGTTCATATTTTCTACAGGAATAGGGAATGTGATAATATATTTCATAACAAAAAACTCAATAATTAAGCAGAGAGTGGGGTTTTGGGGTTTTGGGGTTTTGGGGTTTTGGGGTTTTGGGGTTTTGGGG